GTCTCTTCTCCCTGGAATTTCCTTAAGAGCGTTCACTTCTTGTAAAGTTTTAGTGACTACAAAAATATCTATATAGACTTCTCACCCTTCCACGATTTCTTAACTCTATACCTACACGTGTCACACACTGCGCGTTTATCGCCCTCCAAAACTTCACACCAACCACTTTCAAGCATTTTCGCAAACTCACCTTTGTTTTTTTTTTCTTCACTCCGTAAAAACAAACCCACGCAGCCTGCCAAAATCGACCTCACTTAACAAGTCAGGATTCAGCACATAACCGGACCGAGATTTCGAACTGAACACAACGGCTGCGAATATAGTTCGATCAACTTCATTCATGTCTGACGCCATTTTTAAAGGTTATCATTAGCACAGCGAGGAAATAATGCCAAAAAGTTAGTCCAAAATGGCGAAATTGATACCTCAGGGACATTTTATGCAAGTTGAACGAGAACGAGTTAGATAACCATGAAAATCACAATTAAAGTGGAGGAGCACTAAGGAAAGAGAGGCAGGTGGAAGGCTATTAAAGTCAGTGAGAATACCAGGGAAATAATAAAAAGCTTCGAGACTAGGAGGCTTAGAATGTGTTCGTGGAGGCGAAAAGGTGATAATTCGCGCGCAAGAGAGAAAAGAAGACAAACCAATCTGTTCAAGCAGACTCTCAAGGTCATGTTTCACATTATCAAGAGCTTATGAGTCGTGTTTTGCCTGTCGGACCGCCCTAATTTTCTAACTGAATCGATCGTTGTTTCGGTCAGCATTTGTGGAATAGCGTACACAGTCTTTTAACAGACAATCCACGGATTCCAACAAATCCGTTGTCGGGGAGCCAACAACCACCACTACTGTGAGGGCAATGAATAAGAACCAAATCTTGCTCGAAATTAACGCGGCCTTTGCGGCCATGCTTGATTCAAACTGACGTTACTTTTCAGCTCCATCGTACATGAAGGGGTTTTTTGCTGACGGTATAATTCGGTGCCTCTTATACGACGACTTTCTGTAACCCCATATGCCACATGCTTGTTTGTAAGGCATATATATGGGATTTTTTGTGCGCATATATATGCGCGTTTGTAAGAAAATGGTCATATACTTGGGAATAAAACGCACGTATATCGTGTAGCAGGAATAATTGCAAGTATACGTCGGAAAAAACCGCATGTATATCGTGTCATAATTTTGAAACAAATGGCCAACCATAGTGAACAGGGGGCGCGATCCATTCAACCAAACTTTCCGGAAATTTCGGTCTAAAACTCAATGGATCGGTTCGGTCAAGTTTACGGGTCCACCTTTTGAGGTGGTCCTCTTTTCCCGGTCGGACCGGTTGGAATTTTGGTTGAATGGATCGCGCCCAGGCTCTCTGTTTGGGAAAAAAATAGCAAGGAAAGGGAAGGGAAAGGACGAAGAGAGCCTGTAGACAAACATTTGAGGCCGCTATTCCACCCTCTTGTAATCATCTTGCCGAACATCTGTCAGTAAGATCGTTATCTGTCAAGCAATTTCGCGCGTGAGTAACTCCTGGGAAAATTAACGGGAAATGAGTTGTGTTTTGTTCCGTCCATTCTCGTCCCCAGAGCCCGTCGTTTCTTGGTCACGTGGTCGGGAAACGAGGGGCTCCACCAGTCGGTTACAAATTAGGCCGAGTGGCTCTGGGGACGAGAATGTGTTCCGTCTGAAAACAAAGTGAAATGGACCGCGCACCTAATTGTCGATTTTGCAAAAAGTCGTTGACCTCGTAAGAGAATTAATACGCTGCCGGTCTTTGGCGTTTCAAGAAATAAGACCTTGCTGGTTGACAGTGGCCGAGACCACGCCGTTGTACTAGCGCAAGCATTTGAATCCTCAAGATTTCCCCTTGAGCAAGGAGAAAGCTTTTCCGATTTAAGCTGCTTAACTTGTGCGCGATGGGCCGTTCGTCTTGCTAGTTCAGTTTCTAATTTAACGAGCCCCTGCAATGAGCGAACTTGGAATGCGAAAGGTACAGATACCGTCTATCATGACTTCTCCATAACGTGAAGCTCCAAAGACAAGTACAAAGAGATCAGCAGCGCCTCGATCGCCGACAGGAAATACACCTTAGGATATTTATCCCGTATTTATAGCAATAAAAGGGGGAGGTAGGCCTACACGACGTTTACCTCATGCCAAAATGCTGCTTGTTCCCATAAGTTTTTTCCTCGGCTGGGTTATTATGCTCTGGAAGGTTCTACATTTTCACTACGCAAATATGATTTCAGCCGCGTGGAGTTCACACTGAGAGGTCATGGCACACATATCGATTTACTGTGGTTTTTGTCTCTGGTCGACAGGATTTGCCCTCTGATGCAAGAGCATTTTCTTCTTTTGAAGCGTAAAGCTTTTTATTTCCGCTGACTAAGGGTCTTACTTTTCTCCAAATTGCCTTCTGGATCTGAATAACTTAGCGATTTTCTTTAGTCCGTGAATGTAATTATCGTTTTTCTGAAATGTTGTATCACGCTGGGCCTAGCTCGTTAGTTTTCTTTGCACAATGTTTAAAAACTATCACGGATAGTAATTTACACATCCAAAGTTATAAGATTCAAGTGCAGCTTAAACCGAAGCAACATCAACTATAGAGAATTGCATTGAGACTCGGCGGTAAACTCCAGCTTCGTGTTTTTCTTAAAATAGTGTGAGTCTTTTGACTGGAGCGCGTAGTTCCTCCCTTGTTGTCTTTGGAGTGTTTTGTTATTGCCACTTTGTGATCAAATCGCGAGCTACGTGCCGACCGAAAAGCAGACAATTAGACCAGTCAACAGTCAGTGTTCTCGCCAATAAGAACTTGCATCAAGATCTGATGCACAGCGGGTGCCGTGGAACGGCGGTCCCAAAGTTTGGCTACAGGCCTTTTCGCTTTTCCCTCTCCCTAGTTCCCCGCTCGACCAAAGGCCTGTTCACAGGCTAGTTCGGCAAGAGTAAGTGCCCAGGGGCTCGTCTCGATCTTACAGAAAACTTTCACCACGAACATTTTATCGACCCGACTAACTGCCCCTGGGTCTCCGAGGATGCTCTTTCCTGTGGTGTCGACGGATATGGGTCTGCCCCACTGGATAGCGCGGCACCATTTCCTTCCTGTCTTCCCACTCCACCCTTAAATTATGTCCAACCTTTTTACAAACGCCTTCACCAGGTTAGGAGTGGCTTAGGGACCTTAAGATCCGAGGAAGGCGACGGCAGCGAAAACATCGCCTAAAAGATGAATTCGCGTTCATTCAATCTTCATAGCGACAGTTCCAACTAACTTACTTTGTCAAATTTAGGCGAACTCTCCTGGAGTTGAATTCCTAAAAACCATATCTAAGTTCAGAGAGAGAAAGAAAATTTCGTAGTAGCTTGTTTACGTCCTCCATAAAACGTGAAATTAGGCACTTTCACGTCGTAGTCGTGCTGTGACGGCAAAGAAATGTACAAAAAAGCGTGATGCACGTGCAGAGTTGTTGTTTTGCTAATCTTAACCTATTGCTTTTTTTACGTTCCCGTTGCCGTCGCCGCCGTCGCAGCTTAAGGTCCCCAAAATATTAGCGAATTCAAGCCCTTATTTTACTGCCTTACAATATATCAATAATCTTGAAACTAAGAGGTCATATAAAAGGACAGTCAATCTCAAGATTCTTCAATTTTCTAAAAAAATTTATCGAGCTGTTTAAAAGTTATTCGCTAATTTGTTAAAGCAGACCGAAATGTTTACATTACCGCTAACAAGAGCGCCTTGATACATACTAATCAAATCCTTCTTTCCAGCAATTGGCAGGAGGTATCTCCATGATCTTTCACACACGTTTTTAAAAAGATTGAAACTACTATGAGGTGAAATTGCATGTCAAAAGTGCTTCGTTTAGTACAGATAACAGTCGAACATCAAGATTGACCATTTTTTACCGATTTCTAACCATAAAAACTTCTTCTAAAATATCTCAGAACGCTCTTACAGATTTCGCTTACACTTCACGAACATCGAGGCGGCTATTGTAGGAAAAAGCTCCAGTAAACGATTTTGGAAAAACAGTTCCCAGTGCCGAGAAATACTACTGCAAGTAAAATAGGCAATGGCGTCACTTCGTTGCCATGACAACTCCGATATTATTGCAACCCTGATCATAACAAATTTTCATCTTTATCTAATACAACTGTGTTGTCAACTTTTCCAAATCTTTGCTTATGGCGACGTAGTTTACGCTCAAACTTGGGAGGTATTGACCTTGAAAAACTATATCGAGCCACCTTAATCTAAATACTCCTAAATTACTACAAATAAAATTGAGCAGCATAAAAGATATGATTATGACTGCAATTTTCAATTATATTCAGATGTTTTTAAAAGAACTAAGATCCTGAGATAATCTACTTTTATCTTAAGTAGTATTTCAACCGATTTTAGTCCATATTATGTTGTACATTTATAACACTTTGGAAGAGATGAAATATGAGACCCCCTAAGATCATATGGTGTGGCACGAAAAACGAAGAGATCCTTAACATATGATGGAGCAAGATTATATAATGAACTTAGTGGCTATTCATACGGGACCCGTACACCGACTTCTATTTGCTATTCATTCGGAATTCTGACTATATTGATTAGGGTTAAGCACTGACTCGAAACGGTTAGCTTCTTTTTAGGGTTAAGGATGATGTTAGGCTGCGTGCAAACGGGCGCAACAACTCCCAACATTGTTGCGCCAACAATGTTGGGAGTTGTTGCGTGCGTGTTGGCAGTGGTGTGCAAACGGATGCAACAACCCCCAACAAGTTTGGGACCTGCAGTGCACCGTGGGAAGAATACAACCCGTAGGTCTTTGCAATCCATGTGTAATGAGCGTGCGTGGCCCCTACAATGTTGGAAGAACCGTGCAAACGGATCCAACATTGTTGCGCTACGCTTCGGCGATCACATAACAAAAGAAATGTTGGGAGTTGTTGGCTGAAAAGTTTGACCGGTTCAAACTTTGCGCAACAACACGCAACAACATCCAACAACATGCAACAGGGTGTGCAAACGGACGCAACATGTAACATCCAACAATGTTGGGAGTTGTTGGCCAACAATGTTGCGTCTGTTAGCACGGGGCTTTACATACATTGAAATCAAAGCAGTGTCTAGCATCGCATGTCCAGTGGCATAGTAGGATAGGTGATCGCCTGCAGTCGCTAGACGGGTTCCCGGTTCGAATCTCGGTCATGCCATAATGAATTTTTTTCCCTTAAAAATTGCCATTGAATTTATTCCCTAAAAAATTGAAGACAAGTACACTTTCATGAACATTTGTGGAGCAGAAATTTCAAGAGGTGCCTTAGAAATTTCATAGAAATTTCAGGAAGAGACTTAATCCCGTATGAATAGCAAATACAAGTCGGCGTACAGGTCCCGTATAAACAGCCACTGGCTTAATGATTTACACACTAGTAATGCAATATTTTGAAATCTGCTGTTACCCAGTGTGGTCTTCTTGGCCATTGTTAATATGGTTTGTTTAATGCTCGTTTCCTTAATTTTTCACGCTTATCTGAATCACTTTTAGAACAAAAGTACCACAGAGTATAGCGGAACAGGAATAAGGCGTTGGAATTATTTAAGATGTGAAACAATTCGCGCGCAATGCATGATCTGACTTGCAACATGAGTTACAAGCACAGTAAGGAAACGTACAAACAGTGAGCGCTAACTTCAACTTACTTTAAGCTACAAAGCCGAATGGATCCATGGATCCTGGTTTAAAAAGTCAGTTATGTCAACTATAATTTTTAAAAACATGGTATCATCTCGCACATAAGCGTGATTATTTAATTCAGTTAGAGAGCAAAACATCGGACACCCACTTGCAATGTTTGTTTCTCTCCTCGGTCTCTGAAATGAGGGGCTGTTAGGATCAGGCCTGAACGCTTTAATCACGTGTTGAACATTATCTTGATCCATCAACATGAACGTGACTTTCTGTCTGAATGGCCAGCGAAGAATTGCATCATACTGACCCCGCAAGACCACGAAGAACACAGAGATATGTGTTCCTCGGCCCATGCCATCTCCGTTTAAATATATGCGGGCGCACATCTTGTATCCATAGCGACTAGTGTAGAAGCAAGGGCTGAAGAAAGAGACTTGCTGCCCGCTGACTGCTTCGTTTCTTTTACGTGCAAACTCAGTTATTTTCCACAGCAACTTGCCATCGTAGCTTGAAAACTCCTGTTGCCTTACGTATTCCTCCAAATCAGCCAAGGTAACGTTTCTTAGAGCCAGTGTGTGCTCAATAGACTCAATCCTTCTTTCTACCCTTCTGACGGTCTCCTGGACGGTTTCAACTAATCGTCTTACATTACCCACATACCGATTTGCCTTCTCGATTGAACGATTACTTTCAACTAACAGCACCTCGTGGTCAGCGGTTTTATTCTCAAGATTGTTTACCCTTCGCACAATCTCGTTGTTCGGTACACAAGCACGTGAGTCACCAGACATTTGAGCAGATGCGGCCGCTGCCGTGAGATTCCCTGTGGCCACTTTTCTTTCCAGGGTGGTGATTCGTTCGCTGTGCTCTCTAAGCTTTTCCCTAAAATCCCTGGTTTCCGTTGTACTGGTTTGAATTTGAGTGAGTATGTCAGAGATGATACCGTCATAGTTTGTTAAGATATGTGGGCTTCTCGACAAGATTCTTGGATCACGAGTCAAAATTGCTTCCATCTCTCGACCCATCCTAAGGCCATGATGAAGAAGCAATGTTGTGTGATAAACATTTTCCCTCTTCAGGTGCTCTTTCTTTTGCCTTGAGTTAAGAGCCTACAAAGAAAATTGAGACTATATGCAAAATCATTCAGTTTCAACAACTTTGATAAGATTTTCACCCGGGGGATGGACTCCCATATAAAAGTGACGGGGATGCTCGTTGTCTCGCTCTGGGGTGTAAATTGCAGATTTTTTCCCCCGTAGGATCTTTGGGACGGAAAGTCACTATATTTGCCCATCCACGTATCGCTTAGAGCTGTACAGAAAGAATTGTACAAAAAATGATGTGGTGTCTGTTGTAGTATGGTCTCCTCTAGGGGTCAGTTTAAGCTTGGGACACACCCACATTGGTTTCCCATAGGGTTTAATTTCAATTTTCCGACGAGCATCCCCGTCACTTTTATATGAGAGTGCCCCCGGGGATGTTCATAGTTAAGAAAAGAAGATGACTGCCTTGTTTGTCGGAAGCTCGGACGTAAGTTGATGTCCGAGTGGAACAATGGCTCCACACGCTTACGCTTACGCTTAATCGCAATCCCAGCCATTTTGAACGTTCAGTAATGATCAGTGTTTTAATTGCCTTTGGTAATTTCACTAAAACACAGTTCTTTATCTTTCTTTGACTGAAGAGAATTCTCTGGAAGTAATTTTTGTGTTGTGAGAAATGTTTATCTAAAAAAGCAGAAGTAAGAGTTGGGGACCAAGTCGTGTACCTCGGTTTTTGAACAGCCAATCTGTGCAAATGGACATAGTCCCTGCACTGCATCACAGTCTCCTACAATTGGATCCTGATGATCCGACAGCTGAAACATAAATAGAGAGGAGTTGATGAAGAGGGAAAAACTTGACCCGACCATGACGTCTATACCCCATGCCGTCTACTGCATTTATCAATTCTCAAAAACAATATCTATAAGTTATTTTCCTAGGACACATTGTTAACAGTGAAGTCACCTAGGAAAAAGGGCGCACATATCCGGAACTTATGCTTTGTATTCCACATTCCTGGAAAATGCCGGATATGGTACTACATTACAAGAAGAATACGTGTGCCTTATTTCCTTGAATAAGCACCCACGCTCTAATAAGTGCCCTTCCTCGAACAAGGGTTCCCCTCCTTGGCCAAAATATCAAGGAGGCGTCCCTCCCCCCTCCCCCCACTCATCACTTTCTTAATAGTAGGGATACCAGGAAAACCTGTTTTATCATTTTATTGATAACACTTTTCAGCTTCAACTTCAACATTTTATACCGATACATCTGTGTGTACACTTTATGATGCGACTACGGTAGCCTTGATTACCGACAGGAGAACTTAAAAAGCACCCCTCCCCCGTCGATTAAGTGCCCTCCTTCCAATAAGCACCCATCCTTTTAACCGAAATTTTAAAAAGTGTCCGGACGCTTATTCGAGGAAATACGGTAAGAGCGAATACGTCTAAGTATGTGTCACAACAGTCAAGTAATATAGGTGTCTCTCCTTTGTCTGTCTGAGATATTGGGGATAAAGCGCTGCCCCATAGTTACTGGGATTTGACTGAAAAGAAAGTACGTCACATCACAGTCTTCTATGGCTTTACCTTTGCTCGTGGAATTTCCTCTTTGTTGCATTTTTCACACACTACTGGATACGCTGGACATTCCTTTTCTTGGTGCAGCTGTATAAAATTATAAATAAAAAATAAATGCACAGTATACAACTCTCACCTACCAAAGAATTTGTTCTCTATATATTGTTTCTCTTTCCGACCAACTTGGCATATAATATGACATAATATTGTATAATGTACATTAAATTAAAACCAAGAAAAGCAAAAGATTATACTACCGCAGATTGTAAAATATATATATTTATCCTTTTTAAAGAACATTGTCAATAAAATTATCTACACCAAAGAACCCAGTTTTCTGGGTTGCCTGTACGTATCTTTGTAATTAAAGAATGTGATGACGGCATGTTTTGCATCTCCTACTAAAAGTCGAAAATTGCAGTCTTTCATAGTGTTAGTATCCCTTTATATCCTGTTCTACACGTATATAAGGACATCTGGAAAATGTCTGAGCAACTTGGGTGAAGCTGAGTATCGGATAGCTGATGCATTGACAGGATTTCATTACGACGCAATCGTTCGTTGGCGCCATTTCAGACCGGAACTAATGTTCAGGCATGGCCCTAAAAGGAAGGTTTACCTCGCATCAAGGTTGAGCTATCATCCCAATTCTACTGCAAGCTTCAATTTAACAAGACTGGCGCTTTGTGGAGATATAAATCCCAACCCAGGACCGGGCACAAGCGTAACGTCAAAATCGAAATGTAAAACATGCGAGCGAACTATAGCCCGAAATCACCGAACCGTACGATGTCAAGAATGTCAATTTCCTTACCATCTCAAATGTTCTGGATTGAACACGAAGAACTATCGACAAATGCAGTCAAATATGGGCTATTCGTGGATTTGTGACTTGTGTCTGCTAGCTACTCTTCCTGTTAATTTGAGTTTCAGCTCGGATTTTTCTGAAAGTAGTGTAGCAAATCGACATAATGATGTGGTATTATTCCATCAAAGCGTCTAAAGCAACCAAAGGTGTTCAAAACAATTGAGGTTCTACCAATCCAATCTAAATTCGGCGGTAAGGATGTTATCGTGATGGGCATCTATAGATCTCCGAAAGTGAATGGGAAGAACTACTATGAAGCTCTGGAAAAGGAATTACATGAAATCTGCTCTTGGATATCCCTTCAGAGACAGTTCTTTATTATTATGGGAGATTTGAATCTCAATAAGCTCAGACCAGGAGAAAAGGAAGGAAAAATTTTGTGTGATCTTGAGGAAGTGTATGGCCAGGAATGTTTGATCAAAGAACCTACGAGGATCACAGAGAATAGTTCCACTCTGCTAGATGTTATTCTAACAAACCAACCAGAGTTTTTTCGAGAAAGAGGTGTGTACAACCCAGAGATTAGTGATCATCATATGGTCTATGCGTCGCTCAAGGAGAGAGCAGTGCAACACAAGACCAGAATTCTGAGGGTGCGTAGCTATAGGAACTTTAATGAAGAGAAGTTCAAAGAAGATCTGAAAATGGCCCCTTGGCAGGTGGGTGAGAGTTTCGAATCCGTTGATGAACAGTACGAGTATTGGGAGGCATTACTAAATAAGATCGTTGATGATCATGTACCTACCAGGGACATGAAAGTGAGGGCACATAATGTACCATACATGACGAGAGAGTGGAAAAATGCAATTAAAGCTAAAAGACGCTTCTCAAAAAAATTCAGTAAACATCCCACACCAGAGAATTTTGAATTGAAGAGGAAGTGGCGCAATGAGGCCACCAAGGAAAGAAGAAAAGCAATCTGGCAGTATTGGAAAAAAGTATCAGATAATGTCAAGTCTGATCCAAGAAAGTTCTACAGAACGTTTAGACCATTCACTGATTTCAAGAACAAACAGGGAAGCAGCGGTAATATCTGCTTGAAAGTTAATGATGTGTTGGAAGGGGATCAAACCAAAGTAGCTAACCACTTTGCTAATTTTTTCTCTACAATGGCTGATGGAATTGGAGGGGACCACGTAAATGACTGTGCGGAAAGTGATTTCATGAATCACAACTCTCTTCTCAATATATCGACTTATCTCAATAAGAGAGATCTACAAGTAAACCACTTTGAATTTAACGAAATTACCTGTGAAGAATTACGAAAAGTCATGAACGACCTAAACCCCAATAAGTCAAGGGGATATGACGGGATGGACCCTAAGATCCTTAAAGTAGGCGCCACTGAGTTAGCTCCATCTCTTACTGTGATTTTTAACCAATCGATTAGAAATGGAGAATGGATAGCAGAGCTTAAGCGCGGAGAATGGATACCGGTACATAAGAAGGTATCAAGATAATCTTTTAAAAGTCAATTGCGATAAATATCAAGCCATGGTTTTGGGAAATCCAAAAGGAGAAAGGAACGTTGATCTGGATATATGTGGCGAAAAAGTCGAACAGTCACAATCCATCAAGATCCTAGGTGTAAACCTAGATGAAAACCTAAACTTTAGAGATCATATACGTAGTGTGTGTAAGAAAGTTGGCGGGATGATCGGAATATTAAGAAGGCTTAAAAATCTTATGCCAGTAAATGCCAAGTTACTTTTGTACAAATCAGCTATTATGCCACACCTTACTTATTGCCACCTAGTGTGGCATTTTTGCACGGCATCTGATAGTCGTAAATTGGAGCGTCTACAAGAAAGAGCCTTAAGATTAGTGTATAATACTACTACCGAAAGTTATGACACCTTGCTGAAAAGAGCTAAGTTGACTATTTTACAAAATAGGAGGTTGCAGGATATACTCATTTTGATGTTTAAAGTAAAAAACAAATTAACAGTGAACCAAATTGCGGATATTTTTAATATCAACGAGGAGAATATTAATAGTAAGAGATATAACCTAAGAAATGCAGATTTTGTCTTACCTCGGTTTAAAACTGTTACTTATGGAAAACATTCTCTCAGATTTCTCGGACCACAATTATGGTCTAAACTAAGCAAGGAGGAGAGAAATATTGCAACTTTGGCAACTTTTAGGACAATGATACGTAAGAAGGATGTAACATCATTTCTTGAGGGATGTGGGACTGAATGCCGCTTATGCTTAGATTAAGAGGACGTACGCATATTTACTTATTCATTTTAGTGTCCGAGCTAATATACGCATTTAGTTTTTATATTGTAAATTTTCGAACTTAGCTTCGAAGTGTTAAATCTAGAACTTAGTTTTTAGAGTGTAAAAGAGCACTTAGCTTGAATAGTGTCAATTTCCGGCCTTTATAGTACTTAATTAGTTTCTATTAATGATGTAATTTAGTTTTAAAGGTGTCCCCAATTAGTGCCAATAGGCACTAGAACGACAAGACACTTTAATAAAGGTTATGTATGTATGTATGTAAGAAACCTTGGCAAATCACGGTTAACCCAAAAGGAGTGCACTTTTGCATACTTAAAATCATACAGCACGTCAACGATAGCATACTTTTCTTTACAACGAAGAGCACAAGGCCTCAAACCTTTAACTTGTTCAGGCTGATTTGTTTCTTACAGAATCCACAAGTTTCAGGTCTACACTTGCATTCTGTTTCCAGGTGCTGAGGAAGATCAGCTTTTCTCACCAACATGTCACACTCAGGATGTACACAGGGAAGTTTGACAAACTCACAGCTGTTGGTGTGGGCCTGTTGCAAACAGTATAAAGAGATCATTAATTGAAGGACCACATAGTACATAAAACTAAAAATTGATTTTGTCCGCTGGTTTCTCTTCTATGTGCAGGACATGTACCACAGCATTGATGCTTCTGCTTTGGGATATCCTCAAAATATTCAGTACTTATCTATTTAACCATATTTTACCTCCAAATGTCTGACCTCCCCTTTCCACTGGCATCCTACATCCATAAATGTGCAGTTAACAACAAATGCTTGTACTTCATGGCGCATGAAATTATATGGAAAAAGCTTAAAACAAAGAAGACAAAGTTCTTGAAAATATTAAGGTCAATTCATGTGATTCAGGGAATTAAGCAAAGCTACTCTACTAAGTCCAAAAATTATAATCTAAAACCGATTGAAGGGCAGTCACAGAGAAATATCATTTTATTTCATGGCGGAGCACCATGGTTAAGTAAAATCTACCCATCCCAAAAAATTTGGTAATCAAGTGACCGTACACCGACCGTCCGTCCGCCTGCACCACAGGCAAACCAATGTAAAATAACTCAATCAACGGGTATGGCAACCTAAATGGCAACCCAACTGCAACTCGAGGTTATTTTGGCGGGAAATCGCATAGCCACCCGCGTCTTGTAAAGCTGAGAAACCTAAAGAGTCAATAAAGACGAAAACGGAAAGCGGAAATTGTTTCTGTATCCATGTTGACCAAAGTATTAAGCTTAGATCAATTGTCATGCACACAAATTTGGAATATAGAGAAAGACAAAGACAAAGAAAAAAAGAAAGGAGGCGGCAGGCCAGCGAAGCTCAACGAGAAAACCGGGCGACAGAGATCTAGAGCGAGAGATAAAAAAAACAAAGGAGACATTTTTTTGTTGGAAGAACGACATGGAAATTTTGTAGCGGCGGTGACAAAATGAGAAATGCTAGTGGCCACCAATGCAAGGTGAAAATGGACGGCACTGAA